AAGGAAATGAAATCAATATGTTGAATAGACACCTGCACTCCCATGTTCCCTGTAGCATTATTCATAAAAGCCAAGAAATGGAAACAACCTAAATGTCCATTGACTGATGAATGGATAAAGAAAACAGGATACATATACACAATGGAATGCTATTCAGCCACAAATGGGAAATCCTGTCATCTGTAGCAAACATGGATGAAAATATAAATCATTATTAAGTGAAATAAGCCAGGCTCAGAAAGATAAGCACCACATAATCTCACTTATGTGAAATATATATATAAAAAAAAACTGATCTCATAGAAGTTAGGAGAATGTTGATTGCCAAAGGATGGGGAAAGTAGCTGGAGGAGGAATGAGGAAAGGCTGATCAAAGGGTACTAAATAATTATAAGATAGGAGCAAGCTCGGGTGCACTACTGTACAGTAGGGTAATTACAGATACCAATAATATGCTGTACATTTCAAAACATTGGAAGAAAGGATTTTAGAAGTCTTCACTGTAAAGAAACAATATTTGAGGAAGAATGTTTAAACTTATTTGAATATTATGTGATATATATGTGTATTGAACACTAATTATGTGGTACTCCATTAATATGAACAATTTTTTAATTTTTGTGAATCAAATAAACAGTAAATAAACACAAAAATTCAAACAAAACAAACTTGCCAACCAATACTGTATCAAGCTAAGCAGTTCTTCAAAAAAATGACTTTCCCAGATAAACAAACCTTATGGTGTTCACCGAACACCAACTTGTCTTACAAAACACAACATACCCAAATCAATGGAATTCAGCAAAAGCAGTTCTAAATATTGCACCTCAAGGAACTGAAAAAAAAAAAAAAAAAGGAAAAAAACTCAACCTAGAATCAGAAGAACATAAAGGTGAGAGCAGAAATAAATGAAAGAGAACAGTAAAATATGAAAATAAGCCCAACAAAATAAAGGATATTTTTAAAATGAGAAAAATCAACCAACCAATCAATAGACTAAGGAAAGAGAGGACTCAAAATCAGAGACGAAAAGACAGTCATTATAACTGATACTGCAGAAGTACAAAGAATCATAAGAAGAGATAGTCTCTTCAATAATTGGTGTTGGGAAAACAATATTAAATGTGCAGTAGAATGAATTAGACCTTTATTTCACACATATACAAAACCAACTCAAAGTGGACTAAAGATTTAAAAGTAAGACCCCAAATCACACAACTACTAAATATGTATATGATAAGCTCATGACATGGATAAGAGTTTTTGATACAACCTCAAAGGCACAGGCAATAAAACCAAAAATAAACAAACGGAATTACAACAAATTAAAAAGCTTCTGTACAGTAATGGAAATAATTAGGATGAAGAGAGCCTACAGAATGGGAGAAAATATTTGTAAACTATATATCTGGTAAGATATTAACATACAAAATATGTAAGTAACTCAATCAACCTGATAGTAAGAAAACAATAACCCAATTTAGAAATAGGCAAAAGATTGAAACAGTTCTCAAAATAAGGTATATAAATGAAAAACGGGTTCATGAAAAAATCCTCAACATCACTATCAGGAAATTTAAATCCAAACCAGTGAGCCATTACCTCATGCTTATTAGAATGGCCATCATCAAACAAAGAAAAGATCACAGGTGTTGACAAGGATATGGAGGAAAGGGAATCCTTATGAATTGTTAGTGAGAATGTAAATTAGTACAGCCATTATTGAAATTGGTATGGAGATTCCTCAAAATATTAAAACTAGAACTACCATATGATTCAGCAATTCTACTTCTGGGTATATATCCAAAAGAACTGAAATTAGTATGTTGAAGAGATATATTCACTTGCATATTTACGACAGCACTATTCGCAACAGGCAAGATACAGAATCAACCTCAGTGTCCACTAAGGGATGAATGGATAAAGTAAATGTGGTACATATACACAATGGAATATGATTCAGCTATAAAAAAGAATGGAGAACATTATGTTAAGTGAAATAAGTCAGACACAAAAAGACTCTGCCGCATGATCTCACTAAAAACAAACAAACAAAACCAGTTGATTCATTAGCTAAACTATGGAACCAACCTAGATGCCCTTCAACAGATGAATGGATAAAGAAAATGTGGTACATATACACAATGGAATATTACTCAGCCTTAAAGAAGAATGAAATTATGGCATTTGCAGGTAAATGGATAGAACTGAAAACATCATGCTAAGTGAAATAAGCCAATCCCCAAAAACCTAAGGCCAAATGTTTTCTCTGATAAGCAGATGCTGATCCACAGTGGGGCAGGGAGGATAATGTAGGGAAGAATGAAGGAACTTTGGATCAGGTAGAGGGGAATGAGTGGAGGGGTGGAATGGTGGGGAAGGGAAGGACAGTAGAATGAGACAGCCATTATTATCCTATTTATGTGTATGATTACACTAGTGGTATGACTCTGCAGCATGTACAACCAAAGGAATGAGAAGTTCCATTTGTATACAATGTGTCAAAATGCATTCCACTGCCATGTACAACTAATTATAACAAACTAAAGAAGATAGAAGTGAGACCAACAGAATAGAAGAGGAACAGGGGGAGGAAGAGGGGTAAAGGGGATAGACTGGGGATTGAAATTGATCAAATTATATTATTTTATTATGTGACTATATGAATATATTATAACAAATTTTTTTTTTTTTTAAATTGATCTCATACAAGTAGAGAACAGAATGGTGGCTAACAGAAGCAGGGGTGGTTCAGGAGGGAAGTGGAAGATGTTGATTAAAGAATATATAAACACAGAAGAAAATACATTCAAGAAATCTATTGTACAGCAGGTGACTAGAGTTAATAATAACTGTATCCTTTGAAAATGCAGAGTGGATGTTGAGTACTATCATCACAAAATGATAATTATCTGAACCACTCCACAGTATAATAAATGGAATAACACTGCTTGAAGCTTCAATTTTGAAAGGTTGGTTATGATTCAACAGTTGCTTACCATTTTAAATTACAAGTTTTCAATTCTGCAAATACTTTAATGACACAGGTGCATTAAAATAAACTACTTCAAAGTATATGTACTTCAAAACATCATGCTGTATGCAATACACATATTTTTTCTATCAATTTTTTTTGAGAGAGAGAGAGAGTATTTTTTAGTTTTCAGTGGACACAACATCTTTATTTTATTTTTATGTGGTGCTGAGGATTGAACCCAGTGCCCCGCGCATGCCAGGCAAGTGCACTACTGCTTGAGCTACATCCCCAGCCCCGCAATTTTTTAAAAATAAAAAATTTTAAAAACCCAATTACTGAGGATTTATAGAGATATGTGCTAGGATTAGAAGAGTGAAAGCAGCAAGGCCATGAAAGATGCCACTGCATTTTTTCATGCAGAATGGTGGCTGAGTAGGAATGTCAGTTGCATAAGTAGTGAAATGGTCAAACTGGGAATAAATTTCCAGAATAAGCCAAACCCAACAGAACTTTGTTATGGAATTAGTAAAATGAGCTGAATAAAAGATGTATTGAAAATTGACATGATACTGATAAACTCAAAATATGTTTAACTCCATTTACAACTTAAAATACCCAGTTTTAAAGAAGCAAAATCTACTTATATTGGTGTCAGACTCGAAAAGATAAATCCTTCAAAATTTATGTTGAAATGTCTATTTAAATTTTTTTCTCACTTTTATGACACATGAAATTTTATTCCTGAAAATTTCCTTTCTTAACCAAATTTTTGTTTCTTATACATAATAAATGGAATAATACTGCTTGAATCTCCAATTTTGAAAGGCTGGTTGTAATTCAACAGTTGCTTACCATGTTAAATTACAAGTTTTTAATTCTGCCAATACTTCAATGACACAGATGCATTAAAATAAACTAATAATACTCAATTTAAGTGTTCATAGGTGTTCTACATCTGGAATGATAATGGGATAAAATGCGCTAATAGGTACTTGTTAAGTAGAATAACACAGAGAATGAGCAAAAACAAAGGTTTCAAGAAATTATAATATTTTATGCAAAATAAGATTCCAAATGGAATTAGGTTATTAAAAAATAATGCATCTGAATTTTAACAACCAGACATGAAAAGATTCTAGATTCTAAGGACTACATATATTAATTTATATAAGAAACTCATGAAGATCAGCTTCAAACAATTTTATACTCAACTATTTTTCACATAAAAATATTTTAAAAGTTATATTATTTAAAGAAAGTTCTTGTACAATATAAATTCAAATCATTATCACTTAATGGGTTTAGAATCACTATAAAAATAACTTAAGCCTTAAAGAAGAATGAAATTATGGCATTTGTAGGTTAAATGGATGGAGCTGGAAAATATGATAAGTGAAAGAGGCCAAACCTAAAAAAGCAAAGGCTGAATGTTTTCTCTGATAAGCAGATGCTGATTCATATTGAGAGGGGCGGGAAGAATAAAGGAACTTTGGATTGGGCAGAGAGGAGTAAAGGGAAAGGATGGGGTGTGAGGGTGGGAAGGACGGTGGAATGAAATGGACATTATTACCCTATATACGTATGTGACTACACCACTGGTGTGACTATAACATGTCCAGCCAGAAGAAGTTGTGCTCCATTTGTGTCCAATGTGTCAAAATGTATTCTCCTGTCATGCATAACTAATTAGAACAAATTGTTCAATTTTCAAAAATAAAACAAAAAAATAACTTGAACATACTTTTCTAATATAATTATTTTTTCCAAGTGGGCTACTCTGGCATACAAACCCTATGGAAGCAGGATGTGAGACTGCATCTTTTCTACATATTTTTTCTATACCCTGGAAATAGTCAAATCGTAAATGCTAAGTTATTTTAGAAAATCATGCTAAGTATAGCTTTGCAAAACTTTTGTTCATTCTAAGCTTTTACTCAAAACACCAACCAAGTTCTTTAACGATACTGGCAGAAAAATAATAATCCTTTTCCCCACTTCATGAGTTATTTAAAAAAAGAAGCACCTGGCACAGATATAGAATCCTCTGCACACTAGAGACAACTGCTCTAATGATCTGAGGTCCAAGTCACTGGACACCACCCATCGGAAGATGTACATCAGGACTTCCATTGGCAGCACTGCAAAAGAAAATCATCCTTCAATTACTCTCCTGTTTGTCATTGCACTGTCAAAAAAAACTACATTCTCAGTGCATTTGTGCATTACTAGAAATTTATGAATGTATAAATCACACTATTAGTACTGCTCAGAGATACAGCATTAGTGTATTTAACTACCCAATAGTATCAATATTTTTAGCATCAAAAGACAAATATCATTGTTTTTTTCAGTAGAGAATAAATTTGAAGCTACTTCTATAAAGCACACTTTTCCTTTATAAGATTATTTTACCAGGAAGTTATATTAAAATAAATGTTAGAAAAATAATCTAATGTATGTGTGTGATCCATATTGCATTCATTAACACTAAAGAATTATTTGCTTGAAAACTTTAAATTGTCTTCCTCTGAAAAATTCTTTAACAATATTCAACATTTGAAGAAAAATTACAGTAACTTCAAACATTTGGCTGCCTCAAGACAATTTTCTACCCTGCTAAAATCTTTATGGTAGCAGCATTACTCCAATTTTCTGAGGACTACTTCAGCAACTCCAACTGACCCATTCAGATCTTCACTGAAAAAAGTATGGCACCCTTGAACAATTGCATTTCAACTCTTATCTGTTTCAGATTTTGAAAAGTTTATTAGTATATACAAACAAATCTAGGTAAGTGGATCTCTCACCATATTGCAATTATCTGGCAATATGTAGGTCCAGAAAACTTCAACCTAAGGTAAAAACAACCAAGAATCCACACCTGATATGTGAGTCTGACTGCTCTCAAGCTCAGGCTGACACAGTTTGAGCACAGACTCCTGAAATGTGAGCTGCTGCTGGAAGTAGGACAAGAGATCTGCCATCTTGCTATCATCATCATTATCTTCAATGCTGAAAAAAGAAGGGAGATGAATAAAGTGTCTCAGACTATGAACATAAATTTAGAAACTGATTTTTCATAACACTTTCAAATCTGTTTTAGAAAGTCATTAAAAACAAGCTTTCTTACTGCTTTAAAAAACTGCAATAGTAGTTTATCCTGCCTTGCAAAGGAGTTATCACACCAAGTTTTTCAAAGAAAAACATTTCAGTGATAACCCATTAAGAATTAGGGTTTGGGGATTTAGGTAATGAGATTACTTAGTTTCATTTTAGACATTTCATAAGTTAAGTGAAAATTGTCAAATGAACTGAAAATCTTACATAAGTAATTCTTTAAGTAATCTAAATTCTTTCTAACTAGATAAAAATCAAATATTCTGATATCATTTGAGGTTCTTACTTACCAAGATTTTTCTTATAGATATATCTATCTTTTAAAAGAAAACATCTACTTTGGAAAGATCTTAGGGTCCACACGTATCACCTACCATGATATAATAATGTGTAGTTAAGAATTTTTAAAGTCTAGCTCTCCATTTTTCTTGACATTAACATTAAAGATGATCAGACTTATAAAAGGCTTGAATGAGAAATAAGGGAACCAGAAAGGTTTTTTTATAATACAACAAAAAGCAAGTCTGACTGAGGTTAGTTGGACTCAATGGCTAGTTTACTAATATTTTACTGGGGAAGGCAAAAACCAAAACAATAATAAGCCCATCAAACTTCCAAGGTTTATCAATCAGGTAATTAAAAACTGACTATCTTTGAAAAACTCTGATAGTACTTGGGTTTGTATAAAAGAATGGGACAGAAAAACAAATGCTTCTTTAATGTTCTAACACAATTTTCCTTAACAGCACTCAGCCCTTTTTTTTTTTTTTAATTGGCTAAAGACCTAGCTCTGAATGACTCTACCCAAACTTAAAGAAGGTTTAGAAAAAGCCCAAATGATTCATTTTAAGTATGAACTCTCTCACACTGTTAACTCCAATTTGGTGAAAAATACTGTTAGATCAAAGTCTCAAACAGGCAGTTAACATTGACTTCATTGGATGTTTACAATATGGTTTATCCAATTCTTAAATGCTTATATATGTGTGTTTATATACATATGTGTGTATTAAATATATATACATAAAATATACATATACACATACACATATACACATACACACACATCACACATGCATTTAAGAAACACTGGCAAATGCATGCCTATAATCTAAGTTACTAATGAGGCTGAGGCAGGAGAACTGCAAGTTCAAGGCCAGCCTGGACAAGCTAGCAAGACCCTGTCTCAAAAATAATTAAAATGGCTTAGAATTTAGCTCAGTGGTAGAGCACCTGCCTAATATGCATGAGGACCTGGCTTCAATCCTCAAAACCACACACACACACACACACACACACACACACGGCAATAAGCATATATCACTGATAAACGTAACCTAATTATTCATAACAATGAATATAGTAATAGTCAAAATCTCCTTACCAAAAGTCTATTTTTAAAACCTGACATTCTCCCATAGGTACAGACACCCTTTCCTTCTAATATCATCAAAATGGACTCCTGGGGATAGAGGTATTGGACCAAAACAATTTTATAGTTGTCTTACAAATATCTTTGATAACATTGACTTAAAAATATGTTCTCTTGGTCTTTGTTCATATTAAACCTTCAGTGTAACTTCATAACTTTGATGCAAATGACATCCACAGAGTGAAATGCAATTTCTTTTAGAAATATTTCCATCTTACATCTTTTTTTTTTTTCTTTTAAAGTATTGGGAATTGAACTCAATGGTACTCTACCACTGAGCTACATTCCCAGTCCTTTTTTTAAATTTGAGACAAGGTCTCACTAAGTTGTCCAGGCTGGCCTTGAACTTGTGATCCTTCTTCCTTGGCTTCCTAATTTGCTGGAATTTTAGGCCTGTGTCACCCTGCCCGGCTATACCTATAGTTTTAAACAATGTTACTTTAGAATTTATGAGATTAATATTTTGTTAGAGTTCAGCATTTTCCTAATAAAATCCCACTTTTAAAATGTAAAATGTTTTGCTATGCTCTGTGGCACACACCTAGCAACTTGGAGGCTAAGGCAGGAGGATTGCAAGTTTGAGGTCAGCCTCAGCAACTCAGTGAGATAAAAAAAAGAAAACAAGGACTGGGAATGTAGCTCTGTGGTAAAGTGCCTCTGGGATCAATCCCTAGTACTGCAAAAAATAAAAAATAAATAAAGTTTAAACACAAAAGCAGAAAGACTGATGTAATGAAATTTCATGTACGCACCATCTGATTTTAACCACTATTAACATTTGGTCAACTAGCCCTATTTTATATTTTAGTATTTTTATTTCAAATGTTTCAAAAGGATGAAGTGTATTCTTTAATTTACTCCTTTCAGCAATCATTGCTTTTATTTAAAAAATTCATCACCTTACTTTTGTTAAAGCTATTTAAAATGTACATTTTCATATTTTAATCTAAGAGTTTCCTAATTTAAAAATTTCTGTAAGTTATAAATAAGGATATACTAAATACTACATAGCTTAACAGAATTAGCACCATCTTCTCATCATGTTAAGAGTCAGCATGGCAAAGACACTTAACTTTAACACACTATGCATTACTGTCTATCAAATTATATACGCACTAGCTGTTTCCAACGCCATCACCATCTGGAGACCGGGTATAAGTAATCTTGAACTCTATATCAGGTACAAGTTGCATAGCCCTACGATAAAACTTGATGGCTAAAAGAAGAAATAAAGCTAAATTAGCTAGGACCACACATTTTTGTCATTTCCTTTGATTACCCTTAACTGTAGTTTAATTTTGTAAACTTCTTTACAAACAGCCAAACTCTCTTTTTATAGATGCAATAGAAGCATAGTGAAGAAACTTATTTCCAAATCTTACTAGAAGATTTGGAAACTTTTTCTCTTAAAGTTAATGTGTTATGGAAACTCATGATGTATTTTACTGGTATCTTTTTTTCCCGTCTCAGGGTTTTCCTCACCCTTTTATGTCTCTCTTCAGAAGTCTTTCTTCTGACTCTGAAATTGCAATTTCTACGGCCCCAACAAAAAAATTTCTAAGCAAATATTTTCATTCTAAGACACAGCTATTAAAATCAAGTGCCTCCTACTGGATGTAACAGAAAGTGTTTGAAATTTTACCTTCAAATCCAATTTCCTTTAGCTTAGTTGCTTCTTATTTAGCTAAATAACTTTAAAACCGATTTTTTTATAATCCTCCTGGCCAAGTGGTTTAGAACTGTAATACTCAATAGTCTGGGGCTGCGGAGGCTAATTAGTTCTTTTTCCCCTTGGATGAATTCTATTCAATTCAATATATTCTGCCATGTTCATTTTTTCCACCTTTTAAAAAACTGGTGCATTAATGATGGTATTCGTTATTACATATTTGTACATGCACACAATATAATTTGACTAATATCACTACCCAGCACTTCTTCCCTCCCACCACTTGGTCCCTTTCCTCTACTGATCTTCCTTTGATTTTCATGAGATCCACCCCCACTTTTTTCTTTTTCCTTTCTAGCTTCCACATGACAGAAAATATACAACCCTTGACCTTCTGAGTTTGACTTATTTTATCAGAATGTTCTTTAGTTCCATCCATTTTCCTGCAAATAATATGTCATTCTTCATTATGGCTGAATGAAACTCCACTGTGTATATAAACCACATTTTATATGTTGTTGGCCATTTGTATTCCTTCTTTTGAGAAGTTTAATTCATTTGCCCATTTACTAATTGTGTTATTTGATTTTTTGTTGTAAAGTTTTGACTTCTTTATATATTTTAGATATTAATCTTGTCAGAAAAGTAGTTAGCAAAGATTTTTCTCCCATTCTGTTGGTTTTCTCTTCACATTCCTAATTGTTTCCTTTGCTATGCAGAACCTTTTAAATTTAATGCTGTCCCATATTAACTCTTGGCATTATTTCCTATGCTTTAAGGGTCCTATTGAGAAACTTGCTGCTTATGCTAGAGTGTTGACCCTAAGTTTTTTCCTAGGAGTTGCATAGTTTCTGTTCATATATCTAGATATTTGATATATTTTAATTTGATTTTTGTGCAGGGTGAGAGATAAGAGTCTAGTTTCATTCTTCTACTTATGGATAAGCAGTTTTCCCAGCAACATTTGTTTTAAAAAGGCTCTTTTTTTCTTTAATGTATGTTTTTGGCACATATGTCAAGGATCAGATGACTGCAGGTGTGGATTTGTTTTTGTGTCTTCTATTCTGTAACACTGGTCTATGTGTGGTTTTTTGCCAGAACCCTGCACTTTTTGTTAATATAACTCTGTAGTATAATTTGGAGTCAGGTATTATAATGCCTCCAGCATTGCCTTTTTTTGCTATGTTCTATTTCATTCTGGGTGAATTACCATATTTTAAGCTGAATTGGAAGTATTACAAACAAGACGGAAGACTGATAGAGATGTGACCAACTGGACCCTTTAAAAATGTGTAAGAAACTTGCAAGTAAATAAAGTAACTGTAAATGTTGTTTTTTTTTTTTTTGGTATTTCCAAATGCTTCAAGCAAGAACATTTTCCCCATGATTATATTTACCATAAAAAATGAAAACACATTTGAATTTCTATTGGGTTATTAAAACAAACTATTAAAGATGAAGCATATACTTTTGACAAAATGTAAATTAGAACTCAAAAAGGAAAACATCTATGTATTCCTTGATTTATCCTTTATATTTTCCTCCTTTGAAGTAACTTTCACCTATGAAAATATACCCTATTTTAAGATGAATACAATTTTTAAGGTTTTATTAATGAAGAATAAACACTAAAACTAAATGTAGAAAAGCATTGTTTTACTCATCCTTCCAATACAATGTTTCCCAGAAATTATTTTTTGAAACAGACAAGTTCTATAGAAATAAAGTCTTAAAACTCTTTGACTTAAAAACTCATTTCAAACATAGGAACATTGATGTTCTTTACTAAATAAGATTTAGTTTAAAAAAAATCAGTAACAAAGAGTTGTTCTTAAAAAAAAGTCATAACTACATAATCTTGGGCCTTGAGTTTTACCTTCATAGAGAGCTCCATTTTGTTCTTCTTCTACTGCTTTTAGGAAGAGTTCTCGAGCCTATATAAATAAAAAGTGGAAAATAACTTTTGAAAATCTGTATTAAAAGTGAATATGGATAGCAGTAGAGTCTTTTCAACAACTGGTGCTAGAGCAATTGCATACTAACAGGCAAACAATGTACTTCGATCTAAATCTCATATCTTACATAAAAATTAACTCAAAATGAACCATAGACTCAAATGTTAAACCTATAAAATTATTAGAGAGGAAAAGAAATGTAAGAAAATCTTGGAGACCTAGGATTATGTAAAAAGAGTTCTTACACTTGACACCAAAAGCAAGATTCATAAAAGAAAAAAGTTGGTTGGTAAACTGGACTTCATCAAAAAACTTTTGTTCTAGAAAATTCCAGGACTTGTATCTAGAATACATAAAGAACTCTCAAAACTCAACAGTAATAATATAAGCAATCCATTTTAAAAGGGCATAAACATTATTTTACAGAGAGATATATAGATGGGAAAAAAAGCACATGAAAAGATATGCAACATTATTATCCATTAAGGAAATGCAAGTTAAAATCATAATGAGATATCACTACACCTAGTAGAATGGCAAAAATTAAAAAGCAGTGACAATACCAAATGCTAATGAGGATGCATAGAAACTGGATCCCTCAGATATTGCTGGTGGAAATATGGTACAGACACTTGGGAAAAGTTTGGCAATTTCTCTTATGACAAAACATGTACTTACCATAGAACCCAGCAATTGCATTCTTGGGTATTTATATCAGAGAAATAAAAACTTACTTTTGTAAAAAAAAAAAACCTGCATACAAATATTCATAGCAGTTGGTTAAAAAAAAAACTGGGGAACATTTATACCAGGCAATACTACCCTGAAATAAAAGAGAACAAACTGATGACACACAACATGGACAGATTTCAAAGGAATTATGTCCACTGAAAAAGTCAACTTCAGGAGGTTATATATTGTGTGATGCTACTTTCCAAACATTCTTGGAATGTAAAAATTATAAAATGAAGAACAGATCAGTGGTAGCTGCCAGTGGTTAGGAATAGCTGGGGAAAGTGGGAGGAAAGGGAGAGCATAACTATAAGAATAAAGGATCCTTGAGGCAATACAATAATTTGTGAAAGTTGTCAAGACTCTAAATGAAGTCACTATGTCGACTTTAGCAAAATAAAGCTGGAGGATCATGAGGGAAAGGCTCTCACATATGATTTGCCTGAAAACAAGAACAGACTCTGCCATAACTGCAAACTTGCCCAAAGACCATGGCAGCTCACAAAGAATACTTCTATAAGAACATTTGCCCAGCAGTTAATTGCCTGTCAACCTTGAGTTGATACCACAGTTGTTATTAACTCTTGAATACAAGGTTAATTGTTTCAAAACAACTTATGCAATCTTATTCATTGTACCTTTTAAAACATTTCATTTGCCTCCCTGAATATGCCTAATAGATCTATCATAGCATCCATATTCCAGATTGCAATTTGCTCATTCTACAATAAAATCTTTTTTTTTTTTTTTTTTTGTACCAGGGATTGACCCAGGGGTGCTTAACCACCGAGCCACATCCCCAGCCCTTTTTAAACTTTTTTATTTAGAAATAGGGTGTTGCTGAGTTGCTAAGTGCCTCACTAAGTTGCTGAGGCTAGCTTTGAACTCAAGATTCTCCTGCCTCAGCCTCCCAAGCTTCTGGGATTATAGGCATGTGCCACCTCCAATGGGGAGACAAGTTCTATATCTTGATTGTGGTAGTGGTTATATAAGCTACCCATGTAATAAAATTACATAGAACTATTTATACACATACACATGGATAAGTAATTGTAAACCCAGAGAATATGAATAAGCTCTAAGGACTGTACCAATGTTTATTTCCTATTTTTTTGATTTTGTACTATAGTTAGGTAAAACATTACTAAGGAAAGTAGGGGGAGGCTAAGTGAAGGGTGCATGGAACTTCCCTGCATCTGTGAACCTATAATTATTTCTAAATAAAAGTTAAAACAAGTTTGGCAGATTTTAATCGTCATTAATAATGTCAATTATTTGAGTAATTATAAACAAAAACTTGGATCTGGTTGTGTGAAGATGAAGCCTCTATAAATGAGGATAATGAAAAATGAAATGGTGTGCTGTGCTTACTCCATGTGACTAAGTACAGGAGAGCAGTGAGCATTAGTATTCAAAATATTTTCACTGTAAGCACATTCAAATTTTTCCAAAATAACTAATATAGCATTATAATATTTCGACTTAAAATATAAAGAAACATTACACGAAGTAAAGATTGCCTTTCAAAAGACATTAATATTTGAACAATTTCTTTTTTATTTCTGGGTTTCTATTAATAAATTCAGAGGCATCAATCTTTTAGAGACTAAGTGATTCTAAAGGTTCTACAAATTAACAAAAGACAATACCATGATGATAGCATATCTACAGGGAGAGAAGCCCATGGCAGTGGTATCAAGAAAAGCATCTGAAAATTAGGAATGTATAAACTGGCATTTTAGTTGAAATTTTTTTACATAAAGAAAAACTCTTTTATTTTACAAATTATATGTTTATGTCACCAGAGTATGATAAATGATTACTTATGCCAGTGAAAATTCTATGTGGCGAAAAAAAAGTAATTTGTTAAAATGTCATTAATACTTAACTTTTCTTCTTTTGCCAGTTCTTGTTTTCCTTTGGCATCTGCTGCTGCTTTCAGTAAAGAGCCTCTTGTTGCTTTGCAAGGTCGAGTTTCTAAACTGCTAGAGCCTACACCTGGGGCAAGTTCAAACATCCACTGAGCACGGAACATCTGGAGTTGTGCCTAAAAGGGAAAAGCATTTTAGGACACATTAAAGAAGGATAGCTAAACTCTGGAACAATTCATCAATATTTCCAGGTATATTTCTTGTTATTCTAAGACCAGAAAACAGTCTTATAAATTACTAACTACCCAATAAATATTTATCATCTTCTCAAATAATTTTCTACTTAAAATCTTAAAAAATTAAAATTAACCTCAAATAAGTCTGATTATACAGCAAAAGAATTAATAGTATTGGACAGCCAAATTTAAATTAGAATTAAAAATATAAGTCATGACTGAGGGACTGAAATGTAAAGCTTCCAATAATTTGTTAATAAGTTTATCATTTGGTAGACATTAAGAATGCTGCTATCGTGCGAGGCCCTGGGTTCAATCCTCAGCACCACATAAAAATAAATAAAATAAAGATATTGTGTCCAACTACAACTAAAAAATAAATATTAAAAAAAGAATGCTGCTAAAAGTTCCGTAGATGAGTTCAAAGTATTTCTTTTAATAAAAGTCTCTATTTCAAAGAGAATATAATTTTTTCTAACACCTACCATATTAAATATGTAAAACAAAAATGTGAAGACCTGTATAAGGTAGACTATGATGAGCTCTTTTTTGGGGAATAAAGAACTTGTAACCCCAAATTTCTGAAGAATTATTTGAAAACAGCCCTGAACTGTCAACCCTTCTGGTATTGCCTCAGCATGGTCACACTGCCCTGGGCACTGATGCTAAGTGCCCAATAAAATCTAGCATGGCAATTTCCACTCCTCTGCTTCCTTCCCACTGAGCCCACAATGGGGTATCCCCCCTCCCAAAGATAGCTATTGTTAATAGAACTGTATTATTGTTAGATTCCTTCTTAATGGTAAATATGAAATGTTTTAAAAATAGTTTGTCTATATCCTGGACACTGCTTGGTCCCACACATGGTTCTAGCATGTCATACATGTACCTCTTACAGCATCTTCAATAGCATTCCAAATAAACAAGTATTAGAAAGCTTATGAATTCCCTATTTCAATGCACAAAGATTTACACCATCTTTTTAAACGGCTGTAGTGTATCTCATCCTATGAATGCATCATTATTTAACAAAAGAAGTGGATATTTAGAGCTAGGCATGGTGGTACAAGCATGTAATCCCAGAGGCTCTGAAGCTGAGGCAGGAGGATCATGAGTTCAAAGCCAGTCTCAACAAAAGTGAGGTGCTAAGCAAAAAAGAAGTGGATATTTAGGCTGTGTGACACTTCTGCATATAAACATTTTTGCCTATGCGTATTTACTCACTTCCTCCATTATTTCCTTAGGAATGATGTACTAGAACTGCTATTCAAGGGGAATGCATGGTTTTCATTTTGATCCATATTGCCAATCTGACTTCCAGAAAAGCTGTGGCAATTTAAACTTTCATGTATACTGCATGAGTGATCTCATAGCCAGCTCAGCAATAAACACTATTTACCATACAGATTAAAAAAAAAAATTTTGTTTTCCAGATGGAACCCAAGGGCACTTTACCACTGAGCACCCACCTCCTCCCCTTTTTTGGTCTTCTGAAATTGCTGAGGCTGGCCTTGAACTTGCAGTTTTAGCCTCCTCAATAACTGGGATTATAGGTACTTTTCTGTTAACTGTCAATTCACATATTTCTACCCCATGTTCCTCTAATTTACTAGAGTGGTCAGCAGATTAAGAATATGAATCCTCTGCCCATATGTGGTAAACAGTTGTTCTTAGCTATTTGTTAACTTTATTTTATATGGGTTTTAAAACTTTTAGCAGGTCAAACTCATCAATCTTTTTCTTTAAAGTTATGAGTTTTGAGTGATGCTTAAGCCTTATTTTGAATACTTCAAAACCATATAATACATGGCAATAATTAATACTTCTTTCATAGAAAAAGAAATCTATAAGTTATGTTATATAAGTATTCTATAAAGCAATATGAAAATTGTTAAATTCAACACAAACACAAACCTGCAAATTTCCATAATCATGACCAATTTCTGTTTATGTATGGGAAGCAGTGGAATAAGAATCAAAAATATAATTGAAAATACATGCCTGCAGATCTGTTTCAGCAGGACTTTCATTTTCTTCATCATCTCCTGCTCTGACAGTATCAGAATGACAATCTTCCTCAGCTTCTGCCTGAGGAAAAAATAACAAAATAACATAAGGATTAATACACTTAATTTTTTTTTTTAATATTTATTTTTTAGTTATAGGTGAACACAATGTCTTTATTTTACTTTATGTGGTGCCAAGGACCGAACCCAGTGCCTCATGCATGCCAGGCGAGCGCTCGACCTCTAAGCCACAACCCCAGCCCCAGGATTAATACACTTTCATGTATACTGCATAAGTGTTTCCCTTTGTAATCTAATCTCCTACTCAGCTACTTGGTACTTAATACCACAATGTCAATAGTTAGTGGAATCCTCTTTAAAAAGCAAGGCTGTAGGGTGCATTGGGGACCTTACTATTTATTTCCAAAGGAAAATAAGTCTGAAAGGCATATTCTTAATTCAAAACCACAGTATTAATATCACCATGAATCTTAACATTCTGTTCCCCCAAATTTAACATCAACTCCATTCATCCTCCAATCAATCTAATCTTATATAAAATAATTCAACTCCATTACTATAAATAAATGATTTAATATAATTAGGTAAATGAAGCCAATTCCTCCATCAATATATATCCTGTAAGCATTAATTTATTATCTAAACTATTTCACTTTTTCTTAGAAAAAGATGAAATAAAATACAACATCTCTGTTTTCCTTTTTGGTTCCATAACAACAACAACAACAAAGTACTGTCTTAACTTTTTATGAGAAAAATATTTAAATATACTCAAGAGTAAGGAGAATAGTGTAATTAATCTCCAACTAATTATGATTCAGCTTTAATAGTTATCTATATAAACAAAAATTTCTCAATATCAAATATCCATTCTTTGTATTCATATTTCTGAAAATAGTTTGTGAAATTAAGATTCAATATGTACATGATTTCACAACCAATGTAACTCTACATTATATACAACCAGAAGAATGATTGAGTTATACTCCAAATATGTCAAATATATTCTACTGTCATGTATAATAAGATTTTTTAAAAAAGATTCAAATAAGGTATCCATATCCTAGTTTATTGGTACATTTCAATTCTTTTGTAATCCTCTCATTCTGTTGTTCTCCCTCCACCACCACCTCCATACTGGGGATTGAACGCAGGGCCTCAAGCCTCTAGGGAAGTACTCTGCCACTAAACTATGTCCATAGTCCTTTTTTGGAGACAGGGTCTTGCTATGTTGCTGAGGCTGTCCTTGAACCTGTGATTCTTCTGCATTAGCCTTCTGAGTAAATCTCCTGAGTAGTTAAAATTACAGGTGTGTGCTAGAATGTCTTGTTTCTCTTTTTAATAATTTATTTGTGGTGAAAAGGGGACATTTTTCTTTATGGTTTGCAGCATTAGTAAATATGTTCCTTTGTCCTCTTACTTCCTATAAATTGTGACTAGATCTAGACAGGCTTATTTGATTTTGGTTTATTTTCTTCTTCTTACCCAAGACTACCTCTTGGGTGAGGTTACATTTTCCATCCAGAAGGGAAGTTCTGAAATGCCACTGACAAAGTGAAATGGCAGATGTTTTAAACACAATTGTTACAGTACAACAGACCAAAAAAAAAACCCTCAAATAATTTTAGTGCCCACAAACTTCAGCAAGTTCTTAAACCAGAATATTGTTTCATATTAATGAAACAGGGTTGTTTTCCCATAGATTATCTTCTACACTGGTAAGTTTAATGATAACCAATCAGATAAAATTTGATACAATTTTTTTTAATACTATAAAATCAACTCCATTGGACACTAGTTTACCATGTTTTAGTAGGTGGTCAGAAAGAACAATTTTGCTCAGAAAATGCTTAGTTGTGGTACAGAATTATGTAAACAGTTTTTATTTTATGGATGGCTTAAGATTACAGTCCAGGGCTGGGGGTGTAGCTTAGTGGCAGAACACTTACTTAGCATATGATCCCTGGGCTGGATCCCCAGCATCACAGGGAGGCAAAACAAAATGAAAAACTAGTCCACAGAAAGATAGCCCTTCTTTTTTATAAGAGGCACATTATTAAATGTGCTCTCTGTACTATGACTTCTGCTTATTAATATTTTAAATGTACTAGAAAAGCTTATCAAAGAATTATAACAAGAAACCTATTTTATTTGTCTTATAATCCGACTTTTACATATTGGAGTGGTTTAAGGTGGAATAATTCTGGACTAGAAATTGTGTGTGTGGCTTTGGACTTAACAGAGGTCTCATGTTGGAATCCATCCATTTTATCCTTTTATTTTCAATGTTTGTTAAAATGAATCCTACCTTCTAGTGAAAATGTTGCCTCAGTTCAGTCTGTTAGCTAACAGACTTATTAGCAAACAGAATTTGCTCAACATTCAATGTGCTCAGTCCTATTTAGAAATGTGGCAATCAGGAAAATTATGTTGGAGTTTAACTAGAACTAATAATAAAACCAATTTTACCTAGTTCCAAAGTTGGCAAGTTTTATGATTGCAAATTTTAGCTGTAAATTATTTCCAGGAAAAAAAAATGTTTCTATAACACAGTTCTTTGAACACAAAAACTTGATACACTTGCACTACATTACAGTGCAACATAAATAAGTCTTTTGTATCTTATCTCTGGAAGCCAGACTCAAAGTAGGGATGCTTTTGACACTTGAACTAGTTACATTAGTAGGTAGTAAAATACTTGGCAACTGTGAAGGCTAAACCAGTAAAAAAAAATAAATATGAGGCAGTTAAATTGGCAGGTTTGCCTACTGCTTTGGTTTGGCTTAGTGTCCCCCCAAGGTTCATGTGTTGAAGGCTCAGTTACCAGGGTGGCACTACTGGGATTTGGCAGAACATTTAGGATGTGGAGGCCTGTGGGTGTAAGTGTCCTTAAGTCACTGGGGATGTGCCCTCCAAATGAGTAATGTGACTCCCTTTTTTCCCCTGCTTATTAGCTATAAGATGAGCAGTTTGTTCCATGTGCTCCTACTATGATGTACTACCTCATCAGAGGCTCAAAGCAATGGGGCCACTGGATATTGAAGTAAAACCTCTACAACCATGAGCCAAAATAAACTTCTTGTCTTCAAAAACTTAGCTCAGAGTATTTTGTTATACTAACAGGAAGCTAATACTAAGAACATCACTAGTAGGAAAATACGAGGGACTGAATTTATAGATCTCTTTGAGAAGTGTATTTCTCAGGAGCCTGATTTATTACTGTAAACTCGAAGCACTGCCAATGGGAGAAAAGGGTTCTATAGGTATTTTTTTTAGTAACGTACCTTTCTTTCTCTTGCCTAGCAATGAGACTATGCTGATTTCATCTGAAGAAATGCCCCTGCTTTCTCTAGATAGTGCTCTTGGTCAACCTTTCTAATTATCCGTTTTGTGTCCTCTAATACTGATAAATTATTTTTGATTCCTTCACTGGAGTTAGTGCACTGAGGACAGGGAATGCATCTTGGTCATCTTTGTAACCTTAGGGCCAATACATTGCTTGATTCACAGTACAGGCCCATCTAGGCTTCAGCTGTCCCCTCTTCAGAAACTTCTGTGAAGAGATTTGGTGATTTCTGAGATCCCTTTTCAGACGTGACATTTCATGATCAAAAGTTTATCATAAATCACCTTACAGATTTGGTTGAAAATGTATTATACTAAAGTCTAACACCATACCAGGCTGAAAACAGGTACTCAAAAAAATTAGTTGAATTAATAAAATGTCATGTGGCTATATAGTGCATACCTCAAGAATGGAGAAAACTGTAACAAGGCAACATCTTCCTTCTCCCCTGAACTTTGTGTTATAATACAGTTCTAGCCATTACCTTGATTTTGACAGTAAAAAATTGTTGTTTTACTACATTTGGTCAATTCAAATCGTACTTGAAATAAGTTGGTCCTCAGTTACCACCCAGAAGTTTCCACTTTTCTTCATAATTGAATTTGATCTAAATATCACCTTTCACTAGAATAGTTCATATGTTGAGGAGCTCAAGTCTTCATTTTACTTATTCGGCAGATAGGATTAACATAAAGGTTAAGAGCTTAATTCCGGGCAAAGGACTCAAAGTTTAGAGAGAGAGTCAAATGGTTCTTCTTCCATCATCCAGCACTAGTTACAAGAAATAAATGCATTCAGCCATTTGCTTATTCAATAAGTATTTGAGTTTTCTAAGAGCTAGTGTGGTACTATTTCATTCTTGATTCATCCAGCCCTGGCCAGAGTACTTTTATCAGATGGACAATTTATTCGATACCAAAGAAAGGCACAGGGGAAGGTCTATATAGTTCATGCAACAGTTCCATGACATTTGTGCTGTCAAACTCTGGAGCTTAGCTGTTTCTCCTTTCGGACTTTAAAGAAGCTGCTTAGGCCCTCAATGCCATGAAAGTGAGACAGGATCTTTCCATCCCCACTCCTCCAGGACCACCTGCCAACATCCTAGCCAGGCACTGCGTTTAAACTCAGAGCTCCTGAAAGGGGCTGGAATCGCCGCCTCTCTGTGGGCTTTGCTTTCCAGAAGAGGAGTAATCAACAAGTGTCTGCTTGCCAGGGCTCCCTCCCAAATTCGGATGCTGGGAATGCTCACCTCAATCCTCAAAAGCACACTGCTTTTGATAAAATCACTGAAGAGGGACGAGACTAGTTCTGACTAGTAAGTCTGGGGCATTTTTCTGCGATGTACTGCAAAACGCTCACTCCTCGCATCAGGGCTCACTTGGGTGGGGGTGTCGTTTACCAGAAATGAACCCTAGGGACCTGCAGAACCAGTATCCCCTTCACTCCCCCTTGGACCAGGGCCCTATATTGGTGGTGACCGTGCAGCTCCCACTCGGCCTTCAGCCCCAGGCCCGGCCCCTCTTGCACACCGCACCCGCGCCCGCCCCGCAGCGTCCCCAAGACCCCCTCCCCAAGTTACCATGCTGGCGGGGCGGCTGGCCGCGGTCGAGGGGCTCTCTGCGCCCCCTCTGCACCGCCCCGCTGGAGAGGGGTGCTCGGTGTCGGGTGTCTACTCCTGCCTGTCTACTGCAGCTGGGCTTAGCAGAGTTCTCGGTCGGAGAAGCGCACCAGGCAGCGGCAGTAACTGCGGGCCCGGCGTACGGCAGCCATCTTCGCGGGACAGGGGGCCAGATCCGGGCGCGCTGGAGCGGCGGCCGGGAACTCGGGCTGCGGAGGGGCGCCGGTTGCCCACCGAGGACCGTACGAGCACAAGAGCGTCGGCCCTGCTGGAGACCTCAGACGCCGCTGCGGAGCTGCCCGCTCTGCTGCGGAAGCCTGCGCCGACGCACCGAGCATGCGCAGTGTCGCCTCCGCGGTCCGTGCGCGCCGCGGGCTGTCCGGCCGCTTTGCCCTAGCTACGGGCCAGCGGGGCGTCGGCCTACTATGTGCGCGACCAGAATCCGGAGTGCGGCACTCTGTCCCCTGTGTTCGGCCCAGTGAACACCCAGGGAAATGTGAACAGACATTAACTCAAAAAAATGTTTTCTCCTAAATTTGAGGGTAAGCCCTAATTAAGCCGTCCGGAGGAGAATCAAACCCGAGACTCCAGAAGATCGCGACACCGTCCTGGGTACTCTGTGTGTGCGCGCGCCAGAAATGCAGCCGCACTCATAGGCTGTTATGAAAATTAATCTTAAGTGCACAGACTCTTAAGACTGAGGAAAGGATGCGCTTATGTGCGCTGCAACAGGGTAGGAAAACGGCCAAAGTGAGGAGCATCCCACTACAGATCCCACAATGCAATGGGGGAGGCGTGCAGCTCTGGCGGAGCTGGAGTCCTGCCGAGGCGGGCTGGCGGTGCACTCTGGGATTTACAGTCCGCTACTGCACGCTGCGCGCCAGGATTTACTCACCGGCCTGCCCCACCTCTTAAAGCTCAAACACCTCATTTCACTTGAAGGGGAGGCCCACTGGTTTAGCACTACAAATCTTTATGGGTGTATGTTTTAAGAAAACATATAGGCTACATAGCCTCTTACCTTCATTTAGCAAATAAGAGTTTCTAAAGTTTCTGTAAGTGCCAGCGATTAATGGTCACCAGGATTCCAAGAACCCACATTTAGCAAGCTCACAGAATTTAAATTTCATTATTTTATTCTGAAGCGCCTAGAAATGCATCTATTGCAGAGAACTGGATGCCAAAAAAACAAAAAACAAACAAACAAAAAACGGGCAGGTTTGATGAGCTACAAATAAGAAAACCCAAATGCTATATTTTAATTTTAGGATACACCTTTTGGTTGGGTGTGTTTTTATTTATACCCCCAAACTAACTACATATAAAAAAGTACCCCCATATTTAACAAGGGCCAACAATTTAATAGTTTTAAAAGGAGACTATAAGATTTAAGTCTTTTAAGGAAAAATTTCCTCCCAATGACCTCTTTAAAATTGAATTTTGAAATTTAAATTGAGGAAAAGGTTTAGGATTTATAGCAGAAGAAAATGATTAAAGGGACTCTTGAATTCTAAATATCAATTTTGCAAACGAAGAATGGGATTTGAAATAGTTTGAGAACTATTGAAAAGTGTGGCATGTTTAAGGTGGTCTGGTCAATTAGCACAGATGGTTTTTGTTATTCTAGCAAGTAATTAAATAATAAAAATAAATATTTATAAAGATAAGTTGAATACCCGTTTTATTAAAATACTGTTATACTTCACAGTTATTAGTTTTCTCATTTAGATCAGTTCCACTGTATCAAATAGCCCTCATTACAGGATTGTATTTTGTCATATTGTATTTACAGGGCTGTAATTTTTCCAGAAAGTTTGTTCCATTTGTGAGGTAGACTTGCCTGGACAATTAGACTAAAAACTAATCATTTTAGTTACTTTAAAAATTGTTTTTCATAAGAGTAGTATATGATTCATTAGACTCCTTGTCTCCCTATGTTTTCACTGATGATGATTTGCAATTTTCATTTGCCATATGGTTTGGCTATTGCTAAGTAAACACAAAGGTAGATAAATGTTATATGTTTCCCCAGTAGGATGACCCTTTATCCCTTGGGAGAGGAAACCTAAGGGTTCTTAACCAACTAGTAGGTTTCTTCAACAGGAGAAAGAGGAGGGATATAGTGATGAACTGGGAAATTTAAACTCAGAGAAAAATCCTCAATGTGTTGAAGAGTTACTGATTTGTTAATTAAAATTGTGTTGTTTAAGGAAGTCTGATTCTCCTGACCAGCAACATCAACACCAGAAACGCCAAGTGTAGGTCCCTCAAATTTGTTTTAAATAGCCCTCCAGGTGATTCTGGTTGCTCCTGAAAATGATTGAGACGCACTGGCTTGCAACAGTTAGGTAAATTTAAACGAGGGATCTGAAAGCAATTTCTTTTTATAAAGTGCTTCACAGCCAAGCCTTATGATTTAAGGTAAAGTCTATAATATAATTGTGAAAAAGATAATATGTTTAAAAGGCATATGTGTTAGATGAAACATAACTAGCACAGAAAGAACGAATATTATGTAGAGGACATGTATTAAGCCTCCCAACCTGGATAAGGAATTCAGTCTTTTAAGTTAAAGATGCTAATATTGTAGACACTCTTAAAGATTCAAGGGAATGCTACAGTGAATTGGTTGAGTTTTTATTTTAAACATTTTTCTATTATAAAATATATATAACAAAATTTGCTGTTTTAAACATTTGGGAGGGTACCATTCAATGGCACTGGTTGCACTCACAATGTCGCTCAGCTTACATTTTTTAAAACCAGGAACATGTTTCAGCCGGATTACCTTTAATTAGTGGTTCTCAGAGCATGCAGCGACAGTCTCCATTTCTAAATCTTGACAGCCCATCTGTAGGTGGACTTCGGGTCCTGGGCAGCCGGTCCCCGAGCTCTCAGCCTCCTCGGCGGGGCGCAGGGCGAACTGGCCGCGCTGCAGGGACGCGCAGGGCCAGCGAGGGGAGCTGCAGGGTAACTTTTCCCAGGGAAAGCGGCCGGTCGTCCTCACTAGCAGCCACCCTGCCTTTTGTTTGTTTTCCTGAAGGAGGCTGGAGAGCAGCCGGGTTCCAGCTGCACTGCCATGCGCCCCGCGGCCCGGGCGACTCGCCGGACCTGCCGGGCGTCCCTACGCGGAGCCTGCGGCCCATCCTAGCAGGCATCGCCCCGCTTGCCAGTTCCGGGGCCGGCGGCGGCGCCCCACTCGCCGACGAGCTGCGCTCTCCGCAGGGGCGGGCCCCCGCCTGAGTCCGCGGCGCCAGTAAGTGGGGCTCGTGGATGGAGGGGCTGCACCCCGCACCTTGCCAGGCGCGGTGGGGAGTGGGCTGGGGCAGCTGAGGTCCCCTGTCGATGGCCCCGCGAAGCCTGGGGGGGCAGGAAGAAGCTAAGCCGCCTGTGGTTCCTCAGAAACCGCGGTTGTATGGGTGTCTCTCTCCTGGCATGAAAACTCTGGACGATTTTGATGGGTGTGTTTACCTTTTCCTCTGAGAGAGGGGGGAAGATCTTGGCCCTCTTGAAGCCTCTCTGGGGATGTTGAGGACTTGGTCTTGCAATTTTCTTAACTAGGCCCTTGGCTGTCCCGCAAGGGGTCTGTCTGAGCAAGAACCCCCACATACTTATTTGCAACCATTTTTCACTGAATATCTTTCTGCTCTGATTTCTGTTTTACTAACCTGAGTAGATGTTTTGAGAAGAAGACTGAAGGATTTGACTGAATAACTGTTTCTTTTGTAACGTTGGCCTTTTAAACTTTGACAACAACAGTAAGAGCTTATGTAGAACGTAGTTTAATGCATCATTCTGCTGAGAAGAACATTCATTCCCACTTATAACTAAGTAAAATTTTGTGTTTGCTATAAAGCTGGGCTAGGCTGAGGGAATACCACCCTGAATTTTGCCAGCGGACTGGATTTTTATAAGGTATTGATGTTCGTTATTAATTTATTTTTTTGGCCTTCAGCAGTCTTTATTAATAGAAGTTTGATAGTTACAGTTTTCATTTCCTAGTGAGTAGGGTTTCAGGGTGTGCCTCAATAGTGAGTGGTGCCAATGCTGAATATAAAATTTAAATGAGTTTTAAATTTGATTAACATATAAATTATTAAGAAGAATTTGTGCCTCAGCCATATGCCTAACTGTGTAAGGAGTTAATATATGCATAAATATGCACATTTGAAATAGTTTCGGAACAAAGCTCTACAATTTGGTAAAGAATCTTTACCAAAAAAAAAAAAAACCCTCTTCCTATCTATTTGAGGACCAAGAATTATAAAACCGTAGGAAGTGGGTGTAGAAATGAGAGAAGTGCTGGGATGTTTTTATTTTAAATGACATCCTGTACCATTTCCCATCCCAATCCCTAAGGTCTAACTCTATAGTGACCCTGCACATTTTTGGTTTCTCCCTTTCCACTTTGTCTTGTCCCCTCTGCCAAGTCAAAATGGTGGCTGGGTGGGAAGGGGGCAGCCATGATTCAGATGGTGGAAGGCCCGTGTTGGAGGCTTGATAGAGCTTCCTGGGTAAGCACAACCGCTCTTCCTTGCCAAGGCAAGAGCATTTACAGCAGTCACAAAGAAGTGTTTTTCCTCACTGAAGTTTCTTCCCTACAACGTGTACAGGCACTACCAGGGTAATGAACAGGCCATTTGGAGTTTTATTTATTGACTTTTCAACATCATCAAAGCCCTTTTCATACTTTCCCTGTTTGCTGTTTGTTTTTATCCTCGTTGCCTTTTGAGGTTCCTAGTAAAGGTGGAAATTATGTCAATCTTGAAACTTTGGAATTTCCCTTTATGATCTTCTCCTTCATTTCTGACATCCTTTGTATTATCAAGTCATCAAGACCTTTGAAACATGTTTTCTACAGATCATTCCCTCTGTACTCTACTTCTGCCCTCGCACTTCCTCTCCTACAGCACTGGATCCACCTTTTATTCAGCCTCCCAAGACTGACTCTTAGTGAGCCTTCAATAAATGTTTGCCCAATGAATGAATGAACAAATGAACGAGAAGCTTCCTTCTCTGGGCTCTTCAGCCTTCTGTTGCCCATCTAATTTTCTTAAATGATCCTTTTATCATGTCTCTTCTGGCCTTGCAAACTTTAGTTCCTCTCCATGATCTATTATCTCAAGTCAATTCTAGTATGTCTGATTTTTTTCAAGATTTTTCATAATGGGCCTCACCCTTCTTTGTGCAAAGGATTCTTTTGGTTTTCTTTCTGTCCTGAGAGGCCCAGTCTTGTTTCTACTGAAATGTCATTTATATTGCTTTCTCTAGAAATTCCTTTCCTTCTCTCCACTCTTCTGTACAACTCCATCCTTTGGAGAGGAGTCCAAGTCCTACTTTTTTATCATATTTTCTCTAAGTATTCATTTCTCTTTCTTTAAAGTCTTGAGATACTTGTTTGTTAGCCCTTCATTACATTGCCTGTATTGATCTCTAATTCGCTTAGGTTATTTTAAGCCTCTTTAGGTCAGGAGCCATATTTTATGCATGGTAATGTGGTATTGTGGGCTTTGGAGTCAGGCAGAATTGTGGTCAGGGCTTGACTACTCTTTTTAGTCACGTGGCCATGTGGAATATTTCTAGCATTACGATTCTTGAGTGTAAAATAGAGGAATGTTTTCCCCAGCCAATTGTGGTGTGAAGGTGGTCTACAGTGCCTACTCAGTAACTGCCATCCACCTGACGAAGTTCTGTTCCTCCCTTGACAATGACTAGTTCTGAATATGTGGCGTATATTTAGTAAATGTTTATGGTCAGATTTGTAATAGACCATAAGTCATGGGTCAGCCAAGAGGCCCAGAGGATCAGGGTAACTATGCTGTGAATCCTTAGTAAGTATTATTCTGCCCTTACTGAATATGACTTGAGCTTAAGTTATTCCTGGCTACAGCTCTGCTTCTGGGATCTGTTGCTATTTTTCCATCTGAACCTTGCCAGGAACACTCTGCCTTTGGAAAAAAAAAAAAGAAAAAAAAATTTTTTTTTTAACTTCTGCTCTTGCAGCAAGCTCTTCCATTTTCTTTTATAGGATCTTACTGAGTTAAAGATGTACCTAACCCTTCTATTGATGTCTGCCCTTATAAAAGCATTTTTCTTCTTGTGGAGTATATGATTTATGCAGGACTACTTACTTGTGGTTTTGGGGCAGTTTCTGTGTATTGTGACCTTTATATGTAAGTATATGAATAGTATCTCACTTACTGTTGATTCTTTAATCAACATTCTTTAGCCATGGCATTCTGAGAAGGCCTTATGACTAGAATATCAGCAATCTACTTCCTGTGACCCTTGGTATTTATGGGTGATGTGGGTGACTAGGAGAATATACAGAGGTGTGTCCTGAATGACTTATGTTGTCTTGAGGTCAACTGTATGCTAGTGTGTAGCTGTGCTTACCTTTGGATCATAGCCTTAACTTTCTTATAAAAATACATATTTTCTAGAAAGTTACATTGTAAAAATAATTTGGTGAATCAAGTAATTTTCCAGAACAAATAGCATTAAAATTCTAAGGAAATATTGTGGCAGGGAGAAAATCAGAGATGTTTTTACTGCAGCCAGAGAAGAAAAGTAAAAGAAGCCACTCAGAGTCACCTGAAAATGATAACTGAGGTTCTGTGTGCATTCATGCTCAGACTCTGCTCCCCTTGATCTGCTGACTGATGTTAGGAAATTACCACTGTTCAACAAATTTTTGGGAAATATTTAATACAAGCAGAAGGCTGCCTCCATTCCTGATTTCCTTGCAGGGAAATTGAAGTGTCCTTGTACGTTAAGTGTCTCACTTGCTGTGCCTTGAACATTGAAATCTTCATTGACAAATGCAGATAGTCCCCCTCTCATGAAGAAATTCCTCTCTCATGGTGGGACTCGCTGTGCAGGCTACAGTCATAGCCTATGTAGATTGGCTTATGAAGTTTGGGCTCAGGATTAGCAAAATATTCACATACATTTACCAAAGAAAGGAAGAGGCATTGTGGTACATCTTTTGTAGAATAAAATATGATATACTCACACATTTAAAAAATATGCTATTTCTGAAGATAACAAAGGTTCTTTTGTTATTTGTTGAGTCTCTGAACCTCATCTTTCAAAGTGAGAATGTTGGATGATCATTAAGTTCCCTTAGAGGAAGAAAAAAAAAGAGTTTTTATTTTATGGTCTGAGGGTTTCCTTAACATTATGCTTTGAACTTAGATCATACTGAACTTAGCTTTCAAATCTACCCTAATGAGCATTCAGTTATTTATTATCATACTTTAAAAATTTTCCTAAACTTTAAGTTTGTCATCCTAACTCAATTTTTGAAATGAAATAGCCACCGTAGAACCTCACATTTCACTTGGTTCTTTCTCCACCACGATGGAGTTCTGTACTGGGCCCTTGATAAAATCTATGACATGATAACTGAGAATTGGGAGAACCACACTTTTTTGAGGAAAGCTCAAAGTCGATTTTTAACCTTTCTGTGGGTACAGAATGACCTGTGATGAAGTGCTGTTGATATGTGACTGCCCTTGTGACTGCTTTAAAAGATAAATGCCCCAGAACCACAAGGATAAAGTATTATGGTGTAATGTAATGTCTAACTACTAATTGGACAAGACCATGAATGTTACTAAAGATTGAGCATTCTTAACCCAGAAATTCAAAATCTGAAATTTTTTAAGCACCAACCTAATACTACAGGTGGAAGATTCCACACCTGACTTTATGTGATAAATGGCAGCCAAAATACAGGGGTACTCAAAATATTGTATAAAATTACCTTCAGACTATGTATATACAATATATATGAAACATAAATAAATTTCATGTTCAGACTTGGGTCCCATCCCCAAGCTATCTCATTTAATATGCACATATTCCAAAATCTGGGAAAAAAATCCCAAATCTGAAACACCTCCGATGGCAAGCATTTTGGATAGGGATATTCAGCCTTAATCTGCATAAACTTGAAGTTCCCAGAATATACCAGTTAATGGTTTTGTCTTTTTGCATATTAACTTTGTTTTCAAAGTGAATTTATCAGAATGATTTAACTAAAACAAAGTTGAATGAGAGGAAAGCAAGATATACATGTCTTTCTGTTAACTGTTGAAAAGCCAGTGTTTTCCAAATTAATGTTACGTTTTTAGAAGTACTCATATTTTGGTACCTTAGTCTCACTATCATTATTCAATTTTGAAAAGAAAAAAGAAAAAGAAGGGCATTATGGATGGCAATGGGGTGAATTTCATGGTACAGGAAAATCAG